AGAATATCAGAAAGATGTTTACCTGTGTTTTATTGACTATGCAAGAAGGCTTTTGACTGTGTGGATCATGACAAGCTATGGATTAACACTGAAAAGAAATGGGCATTCTAGAACATTTGTGTGCATGAGAAATCTGTATATAAACCAACAGGCAATCGTTTGAACAGAACCAGAGGCTACCGAATGGTTTAAAAATCAAGAAAGGTGTGCACCGGAGTTGTATTCTTTCACCATGCTTTTCCAACTGTATGCTCAACAAATAATCTGAGTACCTGGATTGTATGAGGGAGAATGTGACATCAGGATAGGAGGAGTCATTAACAACCTTGCTTGCTATAAGTGAAGATGATTTAAAATACTTTCTGATGAAGATCAAAGACCACAGCCTTCAGTACAAGTTATATCTCAATGCAAAGAGAACAAAAGTCCTTACAACAGAATCAGTCAATAACATCGTGATAAAAGGAAAAAATCTGTCAAAGCCTTCGTTTTACTTGGGTCCACTATTAATACTCATTAATCTGTCAAGAAATCAAATGACGTATTGCATTAGGCAAATCTGCTGCACAAGACCTATTTAAACAGTTAAAGAGCAAAGATGTCAATTTGAGAACTAAGGTGCATTTGATTCAAGCCATGGTATTTTCAATAGCCTCAAATGCATGTGAAAAGTTGGACAATAACATAAAGAAGACCAAAGAACAACTGATACATTTGAGTTATGGTGTTAGAGGAGAATATTAAGACTATCATGGACTCCCAGCAGAACAAGCAAATCTATGTTGGAAAAAGTAGAGCCAGAATGCTCCTTTCAAGTCAGGATGGTGAGACTTCATCTCTCATACTTTGGACATGTTATTAGGAAGGACCAGTCTCTGGAGAAGGACATCCTGCTTGGTAAAGTGGAGGTTCAGCGAAAAAGAGGAAGACCACCCCCCAAAACATGGATTGACACAGTGGCTGCAGCAATGGGCTCAAGCATAACAATGATTGTGAGCTTGGGCAGGACTGCACAGTGTTCTGTTCTGTTGGACATAAGGTCACGATGAGTTGGAAACAACTGGATGGCACCTATCAACAATTAACATTGAGACTAAGACAAGTGTACTGCTGAGAAAACTTGTTGACACAATCCAGTGATCACAGAGACATGTTTAAACATATTTTGTAAATCTGTCCATATATAAACTTGAACCTTAGTACTAATAATTTTTGACTTACCTTTGTATGGCTCATATTGCCTGAAGACCTAGGGAGGGCTGTCATCCTAACTACCTCATCACTCACTCAGGTTGGGTACCTGGATCTGTAGCTTAGAGATCTGTGACCCTGACCAATTCACACTGATTCCAAACCTCAGTGTATCTGTAAAGCAGAGATAATGAAAGTGCCATTTGCAGGGTTGTTGTGAAGATTAGAGTTGTTTATTCAGCACCTACCAATCTCTGACATAGTTAAAAACAACAACAGCTGCTAGTTGCTGTTCATTAGTTCTGACTCACGGCAACCCCGGGTGTTGTAGAACGGTACTGCGTTCCATCTGGTTCTTAAGGCTGTGCCCATTCAGAAGCAGCTTACTAAATAAGCCTTTCTTTCGAGGTATCTCTGGGTGGGTTCAGAGTCTTGGTTTATCACTGTAGGATAAGCACCAGACCACAAGGTCTGCGGTTCAAACCCACCAGCTGTTCCTCGGAAACCCTATACAGGATTGCCGTGATTCAGAACCAACTCCATGACACGCAAACAAAAATAACAACTGGATGGGTTCAAAGTGCAAAACTTTCAGTGAGCAGCCAAGTGCTTACCATATAGTAGGCATTCAATAAAAACTAAAACAAAACAAGGTGTTAGCATGCCAATTCTCACTCAGTTTGACCCAATGTGATGCAGAGTACAATGGACTTCACTGGGTTTTCAAGGCTCTGATCTTTCAGAAGCAGATCACCACGTCTTTGTTTTTCAGGAGATCTTCTGAGTGGGTTCGAACCACCAACTCTTTGATTAGTAGCTGAGAATTTAACTGTTTGTACTAACCAGGGACCTTCCAAATATCATTTGTGTACTTAATCACAGAAAAAAACTATTTTAGGATTTGCTAACTATTCTGTGCTAATTGTTCTATTGCTGTTATTGTTGTTGTTACTGTTAGGTGCCATCAAGTTGGTACCAACTCAGTGACCCCTATGTGCAACAGAACAAAACAAAACACTGCCGAGTCCTGCACGAACCTCACAATCATTGTTACGTTTTGAGCCCATGAATGCTGTCATTGTGCCAATCCATCTCGCTGTACTTTTTTCAACACAGATCTGTTTGTTCTTTTGGCAATCAATGGTACTTTTAATATTCTCCTCCAGCACCATAACTCAAAAGCATCAATTCTTCTATAGTCTTCCTTATTTACTGCCCAACTTTCACATGCATATGAGGTTATTGAAAATACCATGGCTTGGGTCAGGCGCACCTTAGTCTTCAAGCTGACATCTGTGCTCTTCAACACTTTAAAAAGTTCCTGTGCAGCAGATTTGCCCACTGCAATACGTGGTCTGATCTCTTGACTACTGCTTCCATGAGTGTTGATAGTTGATCCAAGAAGAATGAAATCCTTGACAACTTCAATCTTTTCTCCATTGATAAGAATGTTGTTTATTGGTCCAGTGGTGAGGATTTTTGTTTTCTTGACATTGAGATGCAATCTCAATCCATACCGAAGGCTGCGGTCTTTGATCTTCATCTGTAAGTATTTTAACTCCTCTTCACTTTCAGCAAGCAAGGCTGTATCATCTGCATATTGCAGGTTGTTAATGAGTCTTCCTCCAATGCTGATGCCACGTTTTTCTTCATACAATCTAGTTTTTCTCGGATTATTTGCTCAGCATACAGACTGACTCCAGTGTAAATAGCTCCCCACCTACTTCATTAAGATTTTGTTATTGTTGATGTGCCATCAAGTCATTTCCAACTCGCTGTTGTTATTACGTGCCACTGAGTCATTACGGTCTCCTAGAAACCTTATGCACAACATAATAAAACGTCAGAGCTCTGGTGTGGCGCTGTGGGTTAATGCGCTGGACTACAAAGTCGGTTTGAACCACAAAGTCGGCAGTTCAAACTCACCAGCTGCTCCTCAGAGACCCTATACAGGGTCACTATGAGTCGGAACTGACTTGACAGAGCTCAAAAGCAACCATACAGACTCAAGCATGGTGAGAGAATACAGCCAGGCACACACTGTTCTACTTTGAACCATCCGGTGTTCCCTTGTTCTGTTTGAATGAATGCCTCTTGGTCTGTGTACAGGTTTCTCACAAGAACAATTAAGTGTTCTGGAATACCGATTCTCTACAATGTAGTCCATAGTTTGTCACGCTCCACACAGTTGAAAAGACTTTGTGTAGTCAATGAAGCACAAGTATACATCTTTCTGGTATTCTCTGCTTTCAGCCAAGATCCATTTGATGTCAGCAATGATATCCCTCGTTCCACTTTCTCTTTTGAATCTGGCTTGAACCTCTGGCAATTCTCTGACAATGTATGGTGGCAGCCATTTTTACATTATCTTTAGCAAGATTTTCCTTGCATGCAACATTAAGCAACCCTGCTCTTCTGAGAACAGCTGACGGGTTTGAATTGACAACCTTGTGGTTAAACAGTCCAGCGCTTATCCCACAGTGCCACAGTAAGATCTTAAGCTTAGTTGAAAAAACACCAAAACTGAAAACAGTTGTTGTTGAGTCGATTCTGTCTCATACCAAGTCAGCCATAGTATTATTCTGACCTACGGCAGCGTCAACCATAAAACATCATTTTCTCTACCAAAGTCTAAGAAATGAAGAATCTCAGCCAAACTCATCCAAATGAAACAACGAAAGTAATGAAAACTTCCACAGGGTGCCCAGTTAGTCAAACAGGTTCCCTCGTTTAGTTGACTTGGTTCATCTGCTCTTATCAAATTTGAGGATAAAGGAACAAACTGCAAGACATGAAACTCGAAGCAGACACCAAGTTTAAAAAGCAGCAACAACTAGAAGCTACAATGTCTACCGTCAGGACAAAGGCACCGAGTTGTGTTAAGTGTCACCGAGTTATCTCTGACGCACAATGATCCTGTGTAAGTCCTCCGAGGAGTGGCTGGTGGCTTTAACTACCAACCATATGGGTGGCAGTCCAGTGCTTATCTTACAGCACCACGCAAGGACTCCAAAGTCACCTTCCTACCCTTGTTTTTTACTATGGTCACACTTTTGAACAAAGAGAGGTGATGTCATCATGAAAGAAAATACCAAGTCATTACAACAAATCAACAAATGAAGCTTCCTGAGTTGAACTGGTATTTTTTTAGAATTATTTCTACACTCTGAAATCATTTTCTGTCTGATGTGATGCTGCAGGATAAGCACTGGACCAAGGTCAGTTAGAACAGCATGGTCCACGGCTCAAACCCACCAGCCACTCCTTGGAACCCTATGTAAGGGTCGCTATGAGTAAAAACGAACTTCTCGACATTTAACAAGAACAAAAATCCTCGGACCAATCAGAATATAAAATCTATTGTTGTTGTTGTTAAGTGCCATCAAGTCGATTCTGACCCATAGCAGCCCTGTATAGGGTTTCCAAGGAGCAACTGGTGAGCTTGAGCCACCGACCTTGCAGTTGAAATGACTTTGCAGTCTGATGCATTAGCCCACAGCGCCACACCAGGACTCCTGAAACCTATTGTTGTTGTTGTTGTTGTTGTTATGTGCCGTCGAGTCAGTTCCGACCCATAGCGACCCTGTACAGGGTTTCCGAGGCTGTAAATCTTTACGGGAGTAGAACGCTTCATCTTTCTCCCGCGGAGCAGCTGGTAATCTATTAGAGCTTGCTATTTTCCACAAGTTCTTGTTAACCAAGAATTTACCAGCTCCTGTAAAACTAGAAATTCTACCTAAGTGCTATCCAAATTATCATGAGTTCGAAAAGTAATGAAAAAAAAAAACCCAAACAAATAGAAAACTTACTCAGATTGGCTGTAATGGACTCTAAATCTGCTACCAAGCCTGGAAGTTGCTGGAGCTGTTCCTGTAACTCTGTTAGGCTGGTCTTCTTTTTCTCCCAGTGAGCGGAAAGTACAACCACCTCAGTGTCCACCAGCTGCAACACAGAAGAGGAGGCGCGGTGAAGCCAAGCCAGAGCTGAGGCATGAAGAAATGACAGGCAGCCTAGTAATGAGACTTAGCGTTACCTCTAACAATCCCTCTACTGAGCACAGGTCATGGCACATGCTAAAGAAGACAGACGTTATTTTCTTTAAAAAAGATCCAACTTGACATTCAGCGCCAGAAACCTCAACTCACTGCTTGTATTGCTGTCTCTAAACCAAGAAATGACCTTGAGAGTCCAGTTAAGTATACCCTGTGTCTAAGTCAACCATGAATTTGAAAATCCAGATATAGAAAAAATAAAACAAATAAAATTACCACTAACAATGGAAAAGAAAACAAACCCCAAACATAATTAACGGGTAATTCTCTGTTTTACAAAAGGAATCTTCTAACAGAAAAGTTCCCAAATGTGATTAGAATACACTATGATTTTATTTACAATTAAACAAGGACACTTATTGAAAATGGTCCATAGATATGAAGGAATTATTGAGGCAAATGATCAATTCCAGAAGAGACTAAAAAGGACTTTATAATCGGTTTGGACCCAAAAGGTTCAGTGACAACAGGCTTGACTTGAGTTGCAGTTGTCATTAATTTTGTATAGATGTGCTGACTGCCAACTGGTCTTTATAAAGACCTCTCAGAGTAGTTTAAAAAGTACTGAATGGTGATAATTAAGCTGTATTTACAAAATGTATTTATAATATTCAACAAGTGCCAAATGACAACCCACTATTTGCCAGCCACTGTTTCAGGCACTAAGGAGCCTGGTGGTGGCACTGCAGGTTAAGTACTGGTCTGCTAACTGCAATCTATGTTGTTGCTAAGGGTTGTTGAGTCGATTCCAACTCAGGGTGACAACTCTGTATTCAGTTTCCAGGAGCAGCTAATGGATTAGAAGGCTAGTGCTTATCTTGCCACAACAGAACTCCCCACCAGGGCTATGTTTCTGTTGTTGTGTGCTACTGAGTGGGTTCCGACTCATAGCAGTCCTGTATAGGGTTTCCGAGGAGTGGCTGGGTGAGTTTGAACCACCAACCTTGTAGTTCAAACCGACCTTGAGGTGCACTGTTTCTCCTACCGTGCCACACCATGACTCCTCACCAGGGCTGTCTGATGTTTTACCATTTAGTTTGCTCACTATTCCTTCTTACAAAGTCAGACCTATCTTTCAAACTAATTTTTTCTTCTTTCTGAAATGGAAACTTCTGAAGTTCCTTTATGGAGAGCCTGTTGATAGTAAACCTTTTTGGGTTTTTTTTTTTCAATCTAAAAATGTCCTACTTTTACTTTCATTCTTAAAAACAGTGAAATCAACTGTAAAATCCCTTCTGTATCAATGATGTGTCTCTTCTCTCAAGCGGTTTTCAGACAGTTCTGCTTTGGTTCCAGTAGCTTCCGTATGAAGTACCCAGGTGCAGATAATTGTGGATCTGGTTTGCGTGCTGTACTTCCTGAAGCTAAAGATTTCTAGATCTCATTTGTTGAGACTTCTCAACCGTTTATCTTTGCCTACATTGTCTCTTTTGTTTTCTCTTTCTGAAATGGTTATTAGCTAGATTAGGCTGATCTATATAGAACTGCAGCTTTCCAGATCAAATTGGTCAAATATCAGAATTCGCACTCTGTTAAACCTAAAGACCTTTTAAACCTATTCTCTATTATAAATTCCTCTTTCATATTTTCTATTTTCTTATCTCAGAGGTGCTTTTTGGGTAATTTCTTTGACTCTCCACCAATTCTTTCTTCAGTCATATCTAAGCATAGTCTTTCAGTTAACGAATTTCAGTGACTGTAAAAATATTTGATAGTGTCTTTATAAATATCTCTAATAGTATATATCCAATAGTGCACTATCAAAAGTACTTTGCAGTTCTAAGCAATTTTTTTGGGTTCTGGTGACTCATACTTTTGGTGGTTTGAGTGTTTGATAGTTTTTTAAAATTCCAAGTTCAGACTTGGTTGAATCTAAGGGACTCCTGAGGGAGCCATCGTTAAGAAAAGATTTTCTTCATAGAGAAATTGTGTTTGTTCTGTTTGGTGTCAAACAACAGTGATCTGTGACCTTTTAATTTCTCATCATAGGAATCTGACATCATGCATGAAGTACACATTAGAATTCCACATTCACGTGAGACCAAGACCCTGGTACTAAATTCAGGAAGGAGACTACATGTATGCCAAGCTGTGATGTAGACTGGTTTCCTTTTGTCCTTTGCCAGCAGGTGGTGGTGTTGTTATGTGCTGTCGAGTCGGTTCTGACTCATAGTGACCCTGTACAGGGTTTCCGAGGCTGTAAATCTTTACAGGAGCAGAAAGCCTCATCTTTCTCCTGCGGAACAGCTGGTAGTTTTGAACTGCTGACCTTAAGGTTCGCAGCCCAATTCATAACCACTATGCTACCAGAGCCCCTTTGCCAGCAGGTAGATACCTAGTTTTTCTAGCTTAATCTTTCACAGGGGGTAAAGCCACTTTAAAAGTCAGAGTACATAATGTACGTAGGAATCTCATCTTCAGCTCCCTACTTGCAAAGTGTCCTATCCTCATAAGTCTCCAAGGATCCTCTATTAAATTTCACTCCAGTTTCCATGTTTTTATTTTTAAAAAACTATTCTTGTTTCAGTCTGCTGTCCATTTTGAGAAGTCTTTAGAATTTCCTTTAATTTTTGTGCAATTAGTGCATTCAAAAAGTTTTTTAAAAATCTACCCATCATTTAAATGTTTTAGTTATACGGCTTTTCAAAGTCTCTGTTGTTGTTGTTGTTAAGTGCCATCGAGTCGATTCTGACCCATAGCGACCCTGTATAGGGTTTCCAAGGAGCAGCTGGTGAGCTTGAACCACCAACCTTGTAGTTCAAATGACTTTGCAGTCTGGCACATTAACCCACAGCGCCACACCAGGACTCTAGTCTGTCTTACTGCCAGAATCCCAAATCACCTCTTTTCAGTAATTTCTAAGAGAAACACTAACATCTAGTATCATTGTATGTGTTCTCAAGTTCTATGCAATTATCACTGGACTGCTAACCATAGGGTCATCAGTTCAAACCCCCTCTAGTCATGCTCAGGAACCCTATACAGGGTTGCTATTAGTCAGAACTGACTCAAAATCCCACAACAATGAAATGTAGAAAATGTCAGTCATAATTAAAAGCATCACATAAGTGTTTTTAGAAAGAAAGTTTTATGGAAATCAGCAACACAGAGTGTCTGACCCTGACAAAACTTTAAGTGTATCAAATAAACTTAAATTTTAAATCATTTTTATTCATTTTATACGCTATACATAGTGCCTGAGAACCATTTGTCCTTCTACATCAATTTACGATGAACACTGAAATATTTTTTTCTGTTGGCTTGTTTCTGAATTTTCACTATTTATTTAAGTTAAACAAACTACTTACTATTTATTTAAGTTAAGCAAACTGAGCAGTTTAACCTTTGACCTAACAATGAATTCTTATATAGTGGGTGCAAAGTGATGGCATCTTATAACACACACACACATACATATAAGAAGTTCTGGTAGCACAGTGGTTACAAATCGGGCTGCTAACTTCAAGGTCAGCAGTTCGAAACTACCAGCTCTTCCATGGGAGAAAGATGAGGCTTTCTGCTCCTGTAAAGATTTATAGCCTCGGAAACCCTGTACAAGGTCGTTATGAGTCGGAACCGACTCCACAACACACCACCACAAGTACATATACATTTACATATACATATACATATATATATATATACACACACACACACACACACATATACACACACACATATATATACACACACACATATATA